CCCGCGGGCTCAGGCAATCCACTCACCTCAGCCTCCCAAAGGCACAGGATTACAGGCTGAACCACCGAGCCCAGCTTATAAATTATGTTGTAAAGATAAAATTCTAAGAAAGGCCAAGTTGTCTCCATGTTATGTGTCAACACTGACCATGTCTGCAACACATTTTCTCTTGACTTTTTTTTTTTGAGTTGGAGTCTCACTCTGTCACCCAGACTGGAGTGCAGTGGCCACTCCCAGCCACTGCAGCCTCGACCTGCTGGGCTCCGGCGATCCTTCCGCCTCAGCCTTCCAAATAGCTGGAACTACAGGCGCGCGCTACCACACCCGGCTAATTTTTGATTTATTGTAGAGATGACGTCTCTCCAAGTTGCCTAGGTGGGTGTTCAACCTACGGGCTCAGGCAATCCACTCACCTCAGCCTCCCAAAGCACAGGATTACGTGGCGAGCCACCGAGCCTGGCTAACCTTTTTTTTTTTTTTTTTTTAATTCGGAGTCTCACTATTGCCTAGGCTGGAGTGCAGTGGCACACTAACGGCCACCACAACCTCGTCTTGGCTGGGCTCAGGCAATCTGCCTCAGCCTTCCAAGTAGCTGGAACCACAGGTGTGTGCCACTACGCCCAGCTAATTTTTTTTTATTTATTGTAGAGACGCGGTCTCGCCAAGATGCCCGGGCTGGTCTCGAACCCCTGGATTCAGACAGTCCTCTCACCTTGTCCTCCCAAAGTGCTGGGATTATTAACACCGATTGTCATTTTTGGGGCATTCCACCTAAACTGCTGCAACAGTGTTGATGATGCCTGTGTATCATATGAATTCTTTTACCTTTTTTTAACAAGAATTTTTGTCAATCAAGTGGAAGATTTAACTTTCAACTCAGATAAAAAGTGTCAAACTACAACATTCTTTAAGCGATACCACCTTTCAAGAAACATACAAATGCCAGTGTGTTCATTTTTCAAAATAAAACTGTATGATCATATTAAGTATACTTTTCCAAACAACATGTGTTCCCCTTCCCTACCTCCATTCCCCTCTCCAGCCTCCAGAAAGGCTGTTCTGTGTGTCACACCTGACTGAGTGACATCCTTCTGTCTGTTGAGGTCAGGATGGTTCAGTGGGGCCCTCTGGGCCACATGAATTCTTTACCATCTAAATGATCTTTTCTACAGAGTAAAGTGAGTTCACATTTTCTTTTTTCTTTTTTGAAAATTTACAGTATTCCTTGTGTTGACTATATGGAATGTGATCTGGGCCAGACAGAATTTACTCCTCCTGGCTGTATTTCTTTGCTTAATATTACAGAACCGGTTCTGGGTATGTATTATATGTATTTCAAATGTCTTGGTTGTATAAACTTTAGAAGTAGTAATGCTTAACAGAAAACCCAATGAATGCAAAAGTGTAAGATATAAATATATATTTTTTTGAGTTGGAGTCTCTCACTCTGTCACCCAGGCTGGAGTGCAGTGGCACACTCATGACCACTGCACCTCAACCTACTGGGCTCAGGCAATCCGGTCTCAGCCTTCCCAGTAGCTGGAACTATAGGCATACGCCACCACACCCGGCTGATTTTTTAAAAATTTATTGTAAATATGAGGTCTCACCAGGTTGCCCAGGCTGGTCTCCAACCCATGAGCTCAGGCAATCCTCTCACCTCGGCCTCCCAAAGTGCTGGGATTCTAGGCATGAGCCACCACACCCAGCCAAGTATAAGATATTAAAAGTGAGTATGCTTCTACCAAACTTACGATCTTTCTCCTCTAACCTCCAAAAACAAACTGGCACTTTTCCATGTGAAGAAATGGAATTGCTTTTTATTTTGCTTTATGCAAATTAGAAACACATCTTTCCCTAATGTTAACATCTTAAGTACAACTATCTAAACCAAGAAATTAACACTGTAGGTTTTTTTTTTTTTTTTTAGTTGGAGTCTCACTTTGTCGCCCAGACTGGAGTGCAGTGGCTGCTCCCGGCCACTGCAGCCTCCACCTGCTGGGCTCCGGCGATCCTTCCA